GAGCATTGAAAGGTTATCTGAAAACAAAAATGGAGAATCCAGGAGAGAGAAATAATGGTGAAGTGGGTATATGTAGTCCACAGTGAGTGAGGCATTGAGAGCCCACATCAGCGCAAGGGTTGTAGTAAGGGTGTAGAGTTTTATGAGAGGACAGGCTATGACGTAACTCTGTTAGGAATATGATTAGCTACCAGTAAAGCACATCCTACATGTAAGATACAGGTAAAGCAGAACCTTTAATTAAGATGAAGGTATCAGTGACATGTGTGATGGGAAGATGTGACATGGTTGATGGATGGGAGGTTGCTTGGATGAACTCAGATAGAGTATTAGAAGTGAAATTAAACTGTGAGACAAGAATGAATGTAATGTTAGTGTGAGATGGAAATGAGAGGATATATGAAAACAAAGGAAAAAGAGAAAAATGTGAGGTTTGAAAGATGTATTTGGGCAAAAAAAATCAAGTATTCTTGGGGCTATGAAATAGGATGCGAAGTAGACCTAAACCAAACTAACACGTAGGAGGTTGAATGTGGCAAAAGAATGGATATAAAAGGAACAGGGAAGACAAATGTGACAGAGCAATGATGGAGACGTGAAAAAATGTGGAAATAATGTGCAAAAGGTTTAACAGGAATGTGTGAAAAAAAACTGTAATGTAAGCTGGTTGTGAAACTAAAAAGGGAAAACATTTGCTGTATAAAAGTAAAAAGGTGGGTGTGAAAGATTGGGTAAGGGAACATGTCTCTGACCAAAGGCAATAGGAGTCAGAACAGGGCAGATGCTAATATAAGGTGACAGCAGGAGCTGTAATACAAAAGATGTGGGGGTTCACATTGACATGCAGTCAAACCGAGTGGTGGGGAAAGGTATGTGGGAGCGGGCAAGGTGTTAGAGAAAATAAAGAAGAGGTTTTGTCAGTGAAGTGATAAATAAAATGATTTATAGCTACACTGAATTAGAAAATAAACCGTGCAATCATTGATAATATCTCAAACATCTGAAGATTTTTGAAAGGGCACTCGGCTACCCCTTGTCCCCTCAAGGGGTTAATCATTGTTTGGCAGGGATAAACCATTAGCCCTAATAATTATCACGCACTCAGGTGAATGGTAATTTCTCTCACACTGTTTCCTGGCCGCTAACGAGCTTCTGACTCGTTAAAAGGGCTGCAATTAGTGAGTCAGCAGGGTGGACAAAATGGCTAGATTGTCATTAACACATGAAGAACTGGAGAGGAAAAAGTGAAATACATCCATGAAAAATGCCCTATGGACTGGATGACCATTCAATCCACTTAATGGTAGTTCCATACGAAACACTGGATGCAGAGATAAGTGCACAACTAAATGAGACACACAAAGATAGATATTAAAATATCAACTATTTCAGGCACCAGAGACTTCCTTTCTCCACAGGTCCCTGACAAAATAATATGAGAGTGTGAATAGGTGTAGAGGGAAGGAGAGGGGGTGGGAGAGTGGGGAGTGCTTGAAACTTGTGCATGCCAATTGGCTATAAAATTATGGAACCATAATTTTGTTGTCGAGAATCGAGCAGATTGGAGAGAACAGTCTCCGTCTGGCTCTGGAAAATCCTTTCATTTTGGCAAGCAAAAGCTCCATATATTTATTTTTTTCATTGCCATAAAAAAATTAATAATTTTCACTATTTTTATATTACACAAATCCAGTTCCCTAAAATATATTTAACCCTATTACTACCTGCATGCTGAAACAGACGCTTAGATGTTGTATATATCAAATACATTATTGTATGGTTACTTCAATTATTTATTATTTTTCAAAAGTTCATTTTATTAAGACACCTGTGGAGTGTCCCTTTGTAGAGTATATTATTTATACAGTTGGTATGAGTTGCAGTACTGTCTGCAGCCAGTGTATAGCGTGGAATCATGACTAACTTTTAAAGTGACAGATGCACTGGTCCTCCAGTGTTTTTAAGGGACTGGTGGAGAGAAATTGTTTTAAAAATCTTGCCGTTACAAACACAGTGCTCTTCTAGGGACAATGTGTATCTGCACTTGTATTTAAAATAATTACTGTCAGAAAAGCATAGCAATGAGACACCTGTGCCAAAACGAAACAGTAAACTAAAAATCTAGGCATGGTTTATTTATGAATCTTATTTTAAATGCTGTGAAAAGGTGATACATTTTTACATTGCTATAGCATAAAAACTGTTTTAAATCTGTACACTGCACAAATACATAAATAAATGCTTGCAATTGCACATATTAAGATGTCAAATCTGTATTCTAAGACTAGACAATGGCAAAATAAATCAAGACAAGAGCCCTGTATTTTGTGCTTTACCTGAAATTTATTTTATCAGGAAGTATATATATGGTTTTCCATCATGTCCCAAAAGCATGCACTCATGACTAAAGCACTGTATTTTTTTTCCCCAATCATTTTTTTTAATTAATCAAGATAGGATTACAGGATATAACATTTCATAAGAATAACATGTTCCAATTTCTAAAGATTACAATAAGTCAAGCAGTTTATCAAGGCATATTATCATGTTAATATATATAACAGAAACATATGTCAGTTTATAACTTAGGTATCAAAAATAGAGAAGAGGGTTGCACTCAATCACAAACATATATACACAGGCTGCTAAACTGAGCATGGGTCAGCATACCCCTTATAGTCTACATATAAGAGAGAAAAAAGTCTCAGGCACTCACTGTGATATGTTCAAAGCAGTTTTAATGGATCCATGGAGACTTTTTGTTTTTTCTCTCATATGTAGTTTATAACTTAGGGACATATAACATATATATTTCATATATCTCAGAAGAAATTGTATCCTTCTTTGATTTGTCCATATTAAGTCAGGAAATTTCTATGGTAAATGTATCTTTCAAAGTAAAAGAAGGCATAAGCCAAATAATTTGCTCCTCAAAAGAAGGAAACGGCTCAGTTGAACCGTATTTAAAACAATTTAAAGAGAAATTAGGGTATTAAAAAGAAAATGTTGCATTTTTATTTGTATGGTTAATTTTCCTTTATACAATGATAATCATAAAAAATGTTAGCATTTAGAAGGCTTATTTTATAGTAAAATCCTTTGTGCAATGAGTTTTAACAAAATACATTATTATTATAGATATAATATGTCTAAAGTGAACCTGTTATTCACAAATTGTTATATATAAGGTGGATAAAGATGAAGCATCTTTTGAAAGTGAAATAGCCAGGGAATGTATAGATAAATAAACTTATGTTGAGATAATTTTCTCCTCTTTCTCCTTTACACTGGTCTCTAAAAGTGAATAAGTTTAGGGTAATGTGTGCAGCCTCATCAACCCACCCACAAATGAAGATGCATAATAGTAGATGCAGGGTACTGCAATGCCACCAGTTGTGGCATAGAGCAAATTCTGAGAAGGTTAAAAAGATTGGAATCACTTTTCATTTATATCACAATAAGTTATGTTTGGCATGATGTTTGCAGGATAAGGTTCTGAATGCTAAGGAGCAATAGTCATTCATACTATTGCTCTCATTGTATTGGATCCTCTACCATTTTGTATACAGAATGCAATCAAGTACAAAATGGTCTTTTGAGTAATATGTCTGGGAGGAAATCCGTAGTTACAAGTAATACTTCACGGAGGTAATCTGTCTGTGTACAATGTCTCATAATATACGAGTTCTACAGTCCTAGAAAAACACATTCTTCTAGAGTGCTAGCTGGTATGTTGAATATAATTGAAGAATTTTACAAACATAAATTGCTATATAAAAGTCTAATGCCAAATTAAAAAATAAAATAAAAAATACATTTAGTGCACCATAGACTGTTATCTAACGATGTCTAAAAATCTGAAAATGATATCAATTTACAACATTTAAACTGTGTATCTATTTATCCATCCTTTACAAAATATGAATATATAAAATATGTTATAGATGGTCTTGTGCCCCAATACTTCTCACAGGATCTCAAATACTAACATGGACACAGAACATTTATTTTACAAACAAATCAGTGCAATGAAAGGAAACTTGAAGAGACTGTCCTGTTCATGAGGGAAAACTTCTGAGTTACTGTTAATTTTCATTGTCTTAAAAGCTTATTTGGTGAAGGTTTACGGTATATATGGATTTATTAACTAAACTGCAATTACTGATCATTAAGAACAGACTAGCAAAATTTAGATTGCAAAAGCGGAATTGGACCCAATTTCTACTTTATCAGACATAGAGATCTTTTTCCACTTGTTTCCAATATTTTGCAGTTAGTGTTCAACACCCCATGCCTCACAATTATGTATATTATATATACTATGTGTGCATATCTATATCTTTGATAAAATCCAATGTATCAAAGAAATATAGGCACTTGCTGGTCTTTTTGCAAAAACATACTAACGTGTTTAACTCTTTGCAGTAGACTTGGGAAAAATTAGTTTTAGCCTGGTTTGTCTGAATCAAAATTATTTTAATTCACCTTCAAACTAATTGATTTGCCAAAGATTTACCTGTGGAGTCTCCTAAAATGATTTTGTAAGCCCAAGGTGATCAGTTGAGATCCTCACTTTTAAATACTAAACAACAGCTTTACATGAAATTTGATATGCATAAAGACAAACACAGCCGCACACAAAACTACAGGTAGGATATTTTACATACATTCATGATACATGTGTGTGTATATATGATCTATGATCCTGAGGAAAGTCCCAGACGGGGACTGAAACATTGATCCACATATGTTTTAGCCTTTTTTGTCAATAAAGAATGGAACTTTTATTATTCAAAGACCGTGAGTGCAAGCCAGTTTGTACATAAAGTATTTGGACATTAAACCCCAGGCGTACAGCACCCGGCACTTCTATGTGGAGCCAGAGTGCAAGGAAGCTCAAGTATTACTATATATATATATTGCATAAATATATAAATACACACACACACATATATATATAGCATCCAAGTAGAGAGCACTCTGGAGTCTTCGTTTTATATCAAAATAAATACTGCTTTATTGTGCAGAATACAAAAATGTCGACGTTTCAGTCACAATAGACTTTTCTCAAGACGTCTTGAGAAAAGTCTATTGTGACTGAAACGTCGACATTTTTGTATTCTGCACAATAAAGCAGTATTTATTTTGATATAAAATGAAGACTCCAGAGTGCTCTCTACTTGGATGCTATATATTGGTCAGAGATTACTTGCACCGGAGCATGGAAAAGACCGGGAACATTGAGTGCTGGGACCTGGGAAAATATATATACACACACACACACACACACACACACACACACACACATACTCTGCATCTGCTCCCCTCCTGCCTTCTGTCTCTCTTTGCCAATTTCTTCATTTTTTTCTGCATTTTTTTAAAGACATAAGTTGGATTTTATTCTACTTTTTGAGGGACAGTAAAACTTAACCCTCCAAATGCCATGATAACTGAGAAAGCTAGCTCTCTGCAATCTGTTGAAGCCAACTTGTCAAATTTAATTGAAAGCACAATCCTTGCTATATTTGTCTTTGATGTGCTCACCACTACTTAACGCAGCATGCATGTTATCCACAGTAAACAATATGAAAACAGCCCCATATTTATTATTTACCATAATATGCATTGTCTGTCTTGTTCTATAGTGGTGAAATGTTGGATTTATACATGCCATCATTACAGAGTGCAGAATATTTCTCCTGTGTATGCTGATTACCATTATACAGAGCAGAGGATTCATTATGAGTATATCGACACCCTGCATCATGATATACCACAGCATGTTCAACATATATATTTACAATCAGTATAGAGGTACTTTCATTGTTATACTGTGTAGTATGTTCATTATTAAAGTATAGACAGATACTAGAAATTATTTTATAGTGCAACTAGTGTATTATCAGTGTATATATAGATACTAGAAATCTTCATATAGTGCAACAAGTTCATTATCAGTGTATATATAGATACTAGAAATCTTCATATAGTGCAACAAGTTCATTATCAGTGTATATATAGATACAAAAACTAGATATACAGATATATTATCTGTGTATATATATATATGTGTGTGTGTTCATTATCAGTATATATAAAGATACTAGAAATCATTATATGCTACAACGAGTTCATTATCAGTGTATATATAGATCCTAGAAATCATTATACAGTATAGTGCAACGAGTTCAATATCAGTGTATATATAGATACTAGAAATCATTATATAGTGCAACTAGTTCATTATCAGTGTATATATAGATACTAGAAATCATTATATAGTGCAACTAGTTCATATAGTGCAAACACCATTATATAGTGCTAGTTCATTATCAGTGTATATATAGATACTAAACACCAACTAGTTCATGTGTATAGCAATGGTTCCATTATCAGGTATATAAGATACTCTGACCATAGTCATAGTGAGCCCCACCCAACCTCCAACTCCACCACTCGGCACAATTTCCTCCACAAAACTTGCCATCAGGCTCATTCACTTTCCCCGTGTAGCGTTCGATAGCCATGGATCCTGCCCGTGCTGCCACTGCCGCCCCAAGACAATATCCGACCACACCAACATGACCCCGGGAAGCAGGTCTCTCAACCTATCAAGGTCCTGCTTCATCCACTTCATTAGCCGATGCTGCTGTATTAGGCCTTGATCATTCCCCCCAGCATGGAGAACAAGCAAGTCCGGCCTACTCCTTCAAACTCGTCAAAACAAACTTCAGGCAACACTTAAGTGCCTGGTGGATCACGAAGGACTTCATAAGATCTTCCCACCCGCACAACTTGAACCAAAATGCTAAAGCCCCATAGTCCTATCTACCACTGCCACGTGGCCAGTGCCAAATATGCTCTTACGTATCCCCCAAGCAAGACGCTCCAAGCTGCCACATCTCATCCGGGCAGGCCTGTCCCACCTTCTGCGCCCCGGGAGCCACCGTCCAAAACTGGGACCACTGCAAACGAGATGAAGCATCAGCCACCACGTTCAAGTACCTGAGCACATGCCGCGCACAGAAAACCACATTAAGAGACATGCAGAATAAAACAAAGCGCCGCAATAGCCATACCACAGACCCGAGAAGCCTAGTGCCCCAAAGAGCCAGACCACCAAGGGGAACAGCTCCAGAAAGGCCAGGTTATCTGCGATGACACCAGAGCCCACCGAAGTAAGTGCACCCAAAGGCTCAGAAAACCAGGCATAAGTCCAAAAACCACCAAAGGTGATGACACAGCTCCAGAAAGGCCCCATGGTCGGCCTCCTTTGAATCAACTTGACCTGTGCTTGGTCGAATGATGCATCCGAAAAAATGAGCCATAGGTCCTTATGCAATGCCCCGAATAAAATGGTGTGGTGATTGCACAACCACCGTAGCTGCTGACAGGCTCACCTTCCACAACTGAAAACCCTCTGGGGAGGCATAAGTCGGCAAAAATCCCCCACCCCCCGTCAAAGAAGCATCCCAGCAAGTGATGACAATCCGGGTGAACTGGAAGCAAACGAAACACAGCCTCCACATCAACCTTAGCCATTAAGGCCCCATGCTCGGCCTCCTTTACCAACTTGACTGTTTGGTCGAATGATGCATAAAAAAATGAGCATAGGTCCTTATCAATGTCATCATTCACCGACGCCCCCTTCGGGTAGGAGAGGTGGTGAATGAGGCTAAATTTCCCAAGATCCTTTTTGGGGACCACCCCAAGAGGAGACACCCGCAAATTAGCCAGAGGAGGCACCACAAAAGGGCCCGCCATCCTGCTCAACTGCACTTCTTTCGCCAGCTTCGCCCACACCACCTCCGCCACCGACCACAGATTGTGCAACCCCCTTGACCCGCCCCTGTCCCGAAAGGGAATAAAGAAACCCGACCCAAAACCAGCTTGCAGCAATCACAGTCTCCCCCCGTCTTACCCCTCTTAATGCATTGGTGAAGTGCGTGGGAGCCCCTACAACCCGAGCACTCATGCTTAAAATGACAGACAGGTCCCCACTTGCACCGACCATCATTGAAGAGCCAGCATAAGTACTTTAGGAAGACGGATGACAAAGCAGACTGCCCTCTTGCGCCAGCCGTTTGCTAAAAGGGTTGCGCTTTTTGCGCCATCATCAGCTTCATGCAGAGAAGCAGGTCCATCTAGTCCCACCTTATACCCTGATTAGCCGCCAGCCATTGTCGGAACCATTCGTCGTACCGCTACCACGCCAGCCTGCGGTACTCCTCCCAGATCCCGTCCAAGTAGCAGAACAGTGATGAACACAGCCCCGGTGAGGACGCTGGCCAGTACGCAGAACGCCCTCAACCAATTACCGAACGACTTTAGTATCTTACAATACCGCTTCCATTTCTCCTCCTCCTCCTTCTTCTCGTCCTTCTTGTCCTCCTCCTTGAGGTCAATAAAGTCCTCCAAGGGAAGAAGCGAAAAAAATTCACAGAACTCCCCTTTCCACAACTTCTCCTTCACATCCTGTTTCAAGTAAACCCCCAGCATCTCCACCCGAGCCACACCCCGATACTAAAAATCATTATATAGTGCAACACCCTCATTATCAGTGTATATATAGATTCTAGAAATCATTATATAGTGCAACAAGTTCATTATCAGTGTATATATAGATACTAGAAATCATTATATAATGCAACTAGATATGACTTGATTTGTGTGTGTCTGACATAGCTGTCTGTGTGTATGTGTGTTTGCCATTGTGCCATGTTTTGGCAGACAGCAATAGTAGGAGCAGGAGGAGGGCTGAAAAGCCCGAAAAAGGGGAGAAGGAAGAACGTTTGAGAGCTGTAAAAATAAAAGGAGTAATAGAAAAGTGCTAAAAAAGAGATGCAAGCTTTAAAGTAAGAGAAGAGAAGGAAGAGAGTTTGAGAGCTGTAAAAATAACAGGAGTAAAAGAAAAGTGATAAAGGAGAGGGGGAAACTGATAATGAAAAAAAAGGGAATAAGTATGAGGGTTAAGAGAGGTTCCCTATTCAACAAGTGCAGCATGTCTCTTCATTGAATAGTACGAGGATTGATGATAATTTAAAGAAGATTTCAATATGGTATGCATGCCTTTAAAATTACTACAACATACATGTATTTGCTATGCTTTCATTTTGTATTTGTACTTAAAAATGTAGGTTTTCAATGGTAAAATTTGTTGGTCAGGAACAGAACCCGTGTTTATTACATTGTGTCTATGGGAAATTAGTTCTCACTTTATGAACTCGGCTTCGGAACCAATTATTTTGTAAAGTCGGGAACTACCTGTGTGTATATATATATTTATATATATATATATATATGTATATATACTAAAAACCATTATATAGTGCAACAAGATCATTATCATTGTATTTATAGATACTAGAAATCATTATATAGTGCAACGAGTTCAATATTAGCGTATATATAGATACTAAACATTATATAGTGCAACTAGTTTATTATCAGTGTATATATGGATACTCAACATCATTATATAGTGCAACAAGTTCATTATCAGCGTATATATAGATACTAGAATCATTATATAGTGCAACAAGTTCATTATCAGTGTATATATAGATACTAGAAATCATTATATAGTGCAACTAGTTCATGGTATATATGGATACTCAACATCATTATATAGTGCAACAAGTTCATTATCAGTGTATATATAGATACTAGACATCATTATATAGTGCAACTAGTTCATTATCAGTGTATATATAGATACTAGAAATCATTATATAGTGCAACTAGTTCATTATCAGTGTATATATAGATACTAGAAATCATTATATAGTATATATAGCAACTAGTTCATTATCAGTGTATATATAGATACTAAACACCATTATATAGTGCAACTAGTTCATTATCAGTGTATATATAGATACTAAACACCATTATATAGTGCAAGTTCATTATCAGTGTATATATAGATACTAGACATCATTATATAGTGCAACTAGTTCATTATCAGTGTATAAATATTCAACATCATTATAGAGAACAGCATATAATTTTTTAGTGTATATTTGGAATCACAGTGTAGCATATACACTAGCAGCCATATTTCACGTCTTTATCAGTGTGTGGATACTCAGCATTATTATATGATGTGTGGGAGTACTGCATGCTATGGGTGAGTGCTCTATCTCAGACAGTGTTTATTGCAGACAGATGATGGTAGAGGAG